CTCGTATTCTTGCATTGTTACAGGAAGAGGCGGTGGATTCTGCCCTTGTCGCTCATGCTCCTCAGTACACGGCGAACAAGGCTAATCTCAAGAATGCGATGCCGTTGCCTCCATCACCGCCGAAACAAGACAAGCCGCTGAATGGGCCTGCACCTACTGAAGGAGCCCCTAATTCAACTTCTGCGTTGGGCGCTCTCAAGGCTTACAGGCGTGTACTAGGACTATGTTACAAGTGTGATGCTAAGTGGTCCAAGGACCACAAATGTGCTCCGGAAGTGCTTCATGTTGTTCATGATCTTTGGGAGTCTCTGTCTTCTTGTTCTGCTACTGAAGACTTAACTAATACTGCTACAGTTGCTACTGAACAGATCTTCTTAGCACTTTCCAAGTCTGCGATCTCTGGTGCTCCTGCTTCTCGTATAGTGCAGTTTTTGGGCTCCCTTGAAGGTATTCCTGTGTCTATATTATTGGATTCAGGCAGTTCTTCTTCCTTCATCAGTGACAGGGTAGCCTAGCAGTTAAGCTCTCAGACCTTCATGCCTGTGCCATCATCTGTACAAGTTGCTGGTGGTGGTGTTCTGTCTAGTACTGGCATTATTAATCAGGTGCATTGGTCTATTGCTAGTAATCAGTTTGTTTCATCATTTCAAATTTTGCCCTTGACCTCGTATATTGTTATACTCGGTATGGACTGGCTGGAATCTCATAGCCCAATGATTATTCATTGGAAACAAAAGTGGGTTCAACTTCAGAGTGGTCCTGATCCAGTGGTGTTGCAGGGTATTTTGCGTAGTCACTCTGATTCAGTTTTGCTTTAGGTCTACTGTGTTACTTTTGATATTCCAGAGCAGCAGTTCTCTGAACTTCCAGTGGAGATTCAGTCCCTCATTCAGAGTTATGCTTCACTGTTTGAGCCACCCTTCATTCAAGTCGAAGCACAAGAGGCAAGAACAGGTGCGGATGCACGAGAGGCTACAGTGCACTGCCACTCTGCCAGGTGCACATGGCCCCATACTTTTGGGTAAATCTTTAGCCTGTTCGGTTGGCTGGTTCGTATCGTTGCTGGTTCGTTTATGTGAGAGAGAAGTACTACTGGCTGGTTCATATAAACAGTGTCCATGTGAGGGGGCTGGCCAGCCCCAGCCGTGGCAAGGGGAAAAAAATCTCCTAGAATGACTTGCTTTGCTTGCATTGGTGGCCGTTGAAACTGAAGATGGGCATTTTGTTGGTAACGATCGAGGGCATGCATAGCTGAAGACGGGCATTTTGTAGATCGCCTTTACAACCAGGTGTTGGCGTGTTTTGTTTTTTGTTTTTGAAACCTCTCGTCTGAGTACGACTGTAGAATCTGTTCATAGGTGTTGGCGTGATGGGCTGCTGATTCTGGGAGTGCTCGTGGGTGGGCTGCGTTTGCGTCATGCTAGTCCGTCCGTGGAGTACATGTAGCAAGTTTTTCATCGGAACGGAGAAGGAGAAATACCGCGACACCCACACCCCGTTTGGGACACCAGCGTCACTGATTGGACGGACGGATGTCACGGATCCTTTCAGTTTCACGGTGAAAGGCAGGCCCAATGTGTTATCCATTGGACGGACGGATGTCACGGATCCAATGGGTGCTTAGCTACTGTAGTAGCTAGTGGTCGTATAGTAGGGTCGTGTTTGTCGGAGCGCACTGCGCAAGGCGGCAATACAAACCGTGGCGGCATACGTAGGCGTCCTGTTCACTTGTGTTATAAGTGTACTTTTTCAGTCAATGAATAGTATTTTTTTCTTACAATAAATCAGCTAACGGTACTTTTAGCTATGACTTATCAGCCAAGCGAATAGGTTGAGGATAGGACGACGAAAAAGAATTGCAAAAGCTTTGAAATGGAAATAATACTAGCCACAGAGATCGGAATATTACGCTTCCAACGCAACGCCTCACGTACGGGTAGCCAGCTGCTCTCTACGAGCGCGCGGGGCCACGATTTGGAGCCTCTCGTTTTTTCCTCTCTTTTTTTTTTTGGCTACTGCAGTGATAATATTTCACTAGTACTTACTTCCTCCACCGAGCAAGCTACGTACTACTACTCCACGTGACGTCACGGTCACGGCAAAGGAGAAGCCAACTTTTAGATGTCTCGGATAGACGTTGGTCATGTTTTCGGGTTGGCCAATCGAGCACGCATGGAATTTCTGCTAATCCACTGAAAACCTGGACCGCTCAAAAGTTTCAAAAAGGAACGGGGCATGCAAACCCAGGTTTGTTTGGAACGGCGGACGAAACATGTAGTACACGCGTTTTCCAATTTGTTTGGATGTGTTCACTGCCAACTTGCATCTATCACAAAGATAATCATATCATATCGCGGACCGCCGCGGCGCCGACCAGACGATTTGGAACCATCGCCGTTGCTGGCGAGCAGTAAAAACCGAGAGCATGCGGCCATGGACCGGAGTCTGGACCAGCACCGGCCCATGCTGCTGCTAGTCTGTGCGTGGCCCTTCACCCCGCGCGATGACAGAAAACCAAAGATAAATCGGCGCTGTAAAAAAATGGTGGTAGTGCGGCAGTAACGGTCAGCTCTCCCCGGTCCTCGGTCCTGGCAGCTGGCACGCGCGCGGGGACTCTCCGCTGCGGCGGGCCGCGGAGTCCGTCTCCGTCCGAGCGCAAAGTCCAACGCCTTTTCCTCTCTCTCCCTCGTAGCAGCAGCCGGAAAGCGACGTCGGCATACCCAGCGCAAATGGGCGTCCGCTTATTAGCGTGGAGCAAATAGCGATTGATTTTTTTTTTCTTCTAATAACCGAGACTTTGTCGACCACGAATTTAATCACGCAGACTTGTGGGTTGTGAGAAGAACAGGTTGAGAATATGCCGCCGATGCCACACGCCAGGATCTGTGGAATCTGCTGGTACCCTGCCCGCTGTCCATTTCCAGCATCTTTCATTTCTCTGCTTGGAACATACGCGGGCCACACGGTTATTAGGGATTGAAGATTGAAGATTCTACATTCTAAATCTCATCACGTCATGTTTTGTTTTTTTATACTTATTCCGCCCATTTTTATGCTCGCGGAAAAGAAATACAAAAACAGAACGAGAAACAGCATGATGTGGTTCTCGCTCGTTTCTTGATCATATTGTTTTAGGTGGGATAAAAGCCCTATTTTACCATATATTTATAAATCTAGGATAAATTTTAGTCGTTATGTGTTATGTATTTTCACAATAACAAATATTAGTTTAAGAATTTAGAAAGTCCTAGGAGAGCACAAGAAGCTCGTGAGCAGGGTTTTTGATTTCGGTACTGCAAAAATTTTGGCCACCCCCGAAATTCGTGAAATTCGGCCGAAGTTTCTCCGAATTTTTTTTAGAGACTTGCACATGAAGTATGATTTTTCTAAAAAAAATTAGATCTAAACAAATATTAGTATTGATTTATGATTACACATCTATTGAGTAGAAGAAAATGCAACATAAGCAATAGAAAATATGAGTCTAGAGTTATGTAGCACATGTATTAGTTTATTACAAAATTTTGGATTTTCTTTCGTTCACCAGCGAAATTACCGAAATTTGCGAAATTTCGCCAAAATTTTGAACCATGCTCGTGAGTCACCTTAAAAAGGCTCCTAAAATGGCACATAGATAACATAATTGTAGCTTAAAGTTTTCGATTCTCATCCGCATTTGTTTGTTGTTATTATTCTCAGAAACCTTCTTTTTTGGTCTGTTCCCATTTTCGACGGTCAAATACGGATGGTAAAAAAAACATTTTCGATGGTCGAGAACCCTAAACTTTCTGACGTCGTTACTACTACGTTTCACGGAGCAAAGCAGACGGGAGGTGAGAAATGCCACCACGGTTCTCGAGAGAGCAAATAAAACAAAAAAAAAACGTTTATAAAAACGAAAGGACCAATCTCACGGCCGCCCGCCTACTCCCAGCCGCATAGAGCGAACATGGGCAAGCACTATCATGTTCCATCTCTTGCTCTCCCCGGAAAATCAGGGCCGCCAGCCGTATCTGCTCGGCTCGCCCGTGCCTGTCAGCCGTATCCGGCGATCTCTCACCCACGTCGAAACACGCAGCACTGATGAGAGAATCGCGTTGCCGAAAGTAAAGCAACAGGCACCGGGAGCTCCCGTGCTCGTGCCGCGCGCCTGCGATTGATTCTGTGAGTGTGAAACGGGAGGAGTATAGTAAGCAACCGGCATCGAATATTCGATGGATGGAGTCATGGAGACGGCTCCTGCTCCGCGATATTTGGTGGGCCGGTGGCGTGGATGGACGAGGAGACGCCCCGCCGCCGACCGCAACGGATTTTTAGCCTCTCGTTTTGCTCTACTACTACTAGTTGTCAAGTTGCTCCAGCAAGCAACCTAGGATTCGTTCGTTCCACTCCGCTTGACGTCACGGCACAGGAACAACAACTCATCGAGAAGCTAACCTTTGATGAAAGCTTCATTAAGCTAACCTTTGATGAAAGCTTCATTAAGGATATGTTCACTTAAACTTATCACCTGATTTATCAGATAGAATCTAAACTATTTTTCTCGCACATCCAAACCAGCCGAACAGGCCCGTCTCCATTCAGATTGGGCTATCGAACACGTATGGATTTTCTGCCAAACCACGTAAATTAGGCAGATAAAAAAACGGCAGGAGGGCGCGCTCTCGGCTTCGGCTCAACCCCGGATTGTTTGGAACGAGGGCAAAAAATAAATAAATAACACAAATAAATGGCTTGACGAACCGACGAACGCAACGCATAACCCGAGGCATTTTTTTTCGAAATCGAACGGAGAGCAATTTGAGCCCTCCGAAGAAATAAATTAAACTCGTGGTAAATCGGCTGCCGCTTGCAGGCAGCTTTCACGAGTTGACGAACCCAGCACACACAAATGAAAACGGGAGGAGCATCACATCACATCACATCGCATCTCCTCCCAATAATGAATGATACATCGCCGCCGTCGTGTCGACGGCTCCGGCGGCCTAGACTAGACTAGTCTAGACGACGGTGTGGAGGATGATCTCGGAGGCGTCGAACCTCTGCCCCTGCTGCTTCATCATCATCGCGGCCGCGGCGGCGGAGTCGCCCTTGCGGCCGTCCCCGCTGGCGGCAGCCGCGGGCGGGTGGTAGTAGAGGCGCGCGGTCTGCGGGCAGTGGGAGTGGAACCGTGCCGCGATGCGCACGCCCATGTCCAGCAGCTCCACGTACTTGCCCATCTCCAGCCTCCTTCTCTCTTCTTCTTCTTCCTCCCCTGTAGCGCAGCGCAGATGAATCTCTCGCCAAGCCTCTGCTCTACGATCTCGAACGGAACGGGAAGGGAAGATGACTAGTGTAGGTTAGCTGTGGATTGGATCCAGGAGGATGGTAGCTAGTGTTGCTGCTGCCTTTCGCGGAAGGAGGTGTCCCAGGAACAGGAACAGGGCATTGCGGCCATGGAACGGCGGAGGGGAGGGTTGCTCATGCCTGGGGGAAGGGGAAGGAGATGGCCGGCCTCCTTTTATACTACTGGGGGATGCCTAGTGCTAGTCCTCTTCTACGGGAGGGGTGGCGTGGGGTGGAGTAATTAATGAATGAATTTGTCTCGCGTTGGGTGTGGGCTGGCGGCAGTTGGGTGTGTGCGCTCGTTAACACCGCGTGGACCTGCTGAAAACGGACCTCCATGCTTTTTACCATTTTTTTTCCTTCAGAAATCCTATACAACACATGTATTTTAGCGCAAAAAAAAATACATGGATTTTTTCTCTTCCTCTCCCTCTCTTCTCTCTCTTTTATAAAAAAAAATGTCTTGCAGAGGAAGACGAGTGAGTTCTCCAAATATAGCTTCAGCCATATGCTTCATCGAAGACGTGAATGACTGCAAGCATCTGATAGCAGTCTCGACAATGTCCGTGCTTTCTGACAATCATAGCATCAGTGCGAGAGCAAAATTTCTCGTTGTCATCTTGCAATCTTTATAGAGAAATTCAAGCGTGGCCTCCACACCAGTTTTATGATCTGCAAGGTAGGCCTCTCCTCCCCCTCCTCTGTGATATGTGATTTGTTTTTTCATAGAAAAAAATTATTTCTTATGATCCGTGAATCTATGATTTTGTGATTTGTGATTGTCTGGAGGTAGAAGAAGGCTAGAGGTAAAAGAAGGCTGGAGGCTAGAGATAGAAGGAGGGTGGAGGCTGTTGGATCTTAATTTTATGGTGAAAAAAATTCATGTGTTGAAACTGCATAAAACATATGGTTGTGTAGTAGATAAACTCTTTTTTTTTTAGTTTTTCCCGTTGTTCCAGTTTGCTTGCTGGGAGATAAAAACGTTTCTGCCATGGAAATTACAGTGGTTTTCGAGACGTCTTGCTCCCACGTTTGTCACGGCGCTCCCTTTTCCTCCAGCATGAGATATTGGACTTGGACGTTGGACCACACCCACGCCACTGAAAGCAAAAGCACCCTAATAAAACCACTGTCCGTGCTGCTTGGAGGAAGGAACGGAACGGAACGGAGGAGGGAGGTTCCTGTCCGTTCCGGGTTCACGGAACGGAAGCCTGGCGAGGTGCGGCCTCGCCCGGATGAAGCCTGCCTCTGCCTGGGCCGGGCTCGCTGCTGCCAGTACGAATGTGTGGTGTCCTGTGTCCAGGACGACTTGACCTCCGCGATTTTTTCCCACCAAAAAATACTTGTACTAGGTACTCACGTGCTACCGAGATTATCTCTAACCACACCATATAAAATATAAGATATATTCAACATTTAGATAGCGTTGGAGTCAAATAGTTCAATACTCATTTGACATCCTCTCTAACGACTGGACCTAAAAGAGAATCCTTTCTGTAAATAGATTGTTAGGAAAGAGAATACTCATATTTGAATTGTGCCTCTCAGACAACTCAAAATAAATCTTTTCTATAGATATTTTGTTAGAGACTAATTTTAAATTTCCTAATACCTATTTTATGTTTAGGTCAGGATATGGGTGCCACTGTGCCACTTTTCTTCGACAACGACTAGTACGGGTACTACTGCTACTCGCTGGGGGTTTGGTTCCGTTCACACGCGCGGCGTCGGCGTGGCTGGCGCGCCGCGCTCGGTGTGTTGTTGGTGGCCCAGGGTGGGCTCTGGCTGCTCTGCCGCTGTCGTCCGTTGCCTGATGGTGCCAAATGCAGCGCACCATTCAGCGTTAGCAGAGGACTTCGAGAACTTCTGACCTTTTCTTTCTCCTTCCTTCGCAACATGGAGGCTAGTTGTTAGCGCCATACTAATCAAGCTGATAGGGATCAATTAAGCATCTGTGGTGTGTGCAGGGCGTTTCATACGCGCCAACCGGCCGACGCTGATATATTCTTTCCTTTCTCTTCTTCTTTTTACAAATATATATAAGAGATTCCTCCGTCTGTCGTCTAAAAGAACGGCTTGTTCAGCTGGTATTAAAGCCGGCTGATAAATCGGGTGAAGCTGATTTATTGTGAGAGAAAAATATTGTAGATTCTAGCTGATAAGTTTAAACAAACAGGCCCGAAGAGGGAGGTGTTGCTCTACGAAGCGGCGATATGCACAGACCCCGTTTGGGAGACCTCCGCTTCCAAATTCTTCAACTCTGCTCCCTGATTCTCCGATAGAGTTGATGAGAATTGAACCTCTGCTGATCCCTACCAGAATATAACAGGGAGCAGGGTGAGTCAGATTTTTTTTAGCTCCTAGCTCATAGTGTAAATGGAGGAATGGTTCTATTGATCCTCACCTGAATCAGTTGATATTTTGAGCTTTTGGCTGGTTGGGAGTGATTCTTTTTGGAGAAACTGAAGCTGGAGCTCTCCCAAAACGACCCCTCAAGGTTCAAAGTTGGGTATAGCCAAGTCACAAAAAAATGGATATAGCCAAGTCAAAAGAAAAGCACTTTATAATTCATGAAGTCTAATTTTAAAGAAGCAAGGAAGTTTGCTAATTAAAGCACTTATAATTTATGAAGTCCACCATCAACAAAAGCAAGAATTTTGTGTTGACATTTCAAAAACTAGGCAAAGGACAAAGGGAAAACTTCACCTTCGAGTCGAGATTTGCCCTGGTCGGCTTCGGCTTCCAGCTGCCTTCTTTGGGCTTACGGCGTGTCCTTAGGGCTGTCTCAACATTTTAAAAGGCCCTTGTCAAGCAAGACAGTAAGGGGTATATAGTTTTAGCCATGTATTTATGGAGTTAGAAGAAAAACCCTTATAATTTATGAAGTCTACCTTAATTTCAGTCATGTATTTGGCTTATAGAAATTGACATGCTTTTCGTGTATATGGTTAGAATAGTGAGACATGTTTTATGCATACCATTGAGTTAGCCTTTTTTCTATATTAATAATGGTAGTAGTGAATAATTTAGAAGCATTAAGACTTTTGAGATTTTTATTGTGGTGAAGATGTAGGTAATTTGAATTTAGAAATTACCTTAGCTTATTTGTAATGAAAGGGGTATACAACTTTAAAGGTCTGTTTGAGACTATTGCATCAACTCTACCATGGAGCATTAAAAAAAACTAAAGTTTCCAGAGTACCTCGTTAGGTGTTCACAAACTCTACCTTTTTTTTAGCAAAGCTGTGGGAGTTGTTCCTGTTTGACTAGTGAAGTTAAGAGCAGAGCTAAAAAGGTGGAGCGAAGTAGTCCCAAACAAACCCTAAGTTCTTCGTTCAAGAGGTACACCAAGTATGATGGGAACGAAAACATTCCAAATTAATTCAGTAGATACCAATGGAACAAAATAAATTAATATAAGTTAGTATGACTTAGAGCTTGTTTGGAGTGGCTAATTGTTGGAAATTAAAAAAATTAGTCACAAGCGATTCAAATAGAAGGGTCAACAAGGGCCTAAAAAATTAGAGAGAATTCCTTATTTGACACTGGGAAAATGAGTCGTTCCTTTCTTGGCCCTGAAATTTTCTTCGTTCCCTATTTGACACTCACTTCAACTTTCATCCCTAATTTGACACTACCATCAAATCCGTTAGCTAACGGTGTTAACTGGTTGTTAAAAAGACGTTTTTGCCCCTAGAAAAAAAAGCGGCGAAGCAAATTTGAGAGGAAAAAAAAAGCTGCGCCCGCCTCTGATGCATGCGCCCAGCTGCAAAAAAAGGCGCAGGTTTTTTTTTCCTCTCAAATTTGCTTCGCCGCTTTTTTTTTCTAGGGGCAAAAACATCTTTTTAACAGCCAGTTAACACCGTTAGCTAACGGATTTGACGGTAGTGTCAAATTAGGGATGAAAGTTGAAGTGAGTGTCAAATAGGGAACGAAGAAAAATTCAGGGCCAAGAAAGGAACGACTCATTTTTCCAGTGTCAAATAAGGAATTCTCTCAAAAAATTATCAAGCACTAGTTGTAATCACATTATATTAGCCAAGAACAACCGGCTAATAAGAACTAATAGTTTATTGTTATGGATGTATAGTCGCCAGATTCAAACATATACCTCTACTTGTTCCGTGCTAAATTATAAGACGCTTTGATTTTTCTAGATACATACAAAACTATTACTATACCCTTAGATATACACTTTGTCAAGATACACTTGTAGGAAAGTCAAAATCTTACTATTACTAATTAGAGGCCCCAACAGAGGCACCACGTTAACTTTCATCAGACGCGCTAGGAAAAAAGATAAATCCTATAAATTTTCACAATAATCAGAAATAACTGGCCTTTAATTTGGCAGACTCTAATCATCATCTCCGATAATAACCATTGGATCTGTTGTAATTTATAAAAAAAATTACCCACCTCTGTCATTATGAAAAATACTTAAAGTAACCCGCTAATTGTGCATATAAATTACCCACCTCTACCATTACGAAAGATAATTCAAAATAACCCCCTAAATTTGTATGTAAATTATCCACGCTTATCATTATGAAAAATAATTCAAAATAACCCACTAAATTTGTATCTAAATTACTATTTTGTCATTATGAAACATAATTCATAATAACCCCCTCACATTGCATCATGTCATCATCGAGACGGATGCAGTCGAGGTTGTGCAAGCAGTCTACTCTGATGCTTTTGATCTCAGCGCTGTAACCAATTTGGTTGCTGAACTTCGTAGCTTGCTAGATTTCAATTTCATTTCCTGGCATGTTCAACATTGCCCGCGTTCTTGTAACAAAGTAGCCCATGAGCTTGCTGCGCTAGGCAGTGTGTGTGATCCGGATGAGGACCATGTTTTGGCCTCTTTGCCGGCAAACATGATCTGTGT